CTGCTAAGTGTCCGGGAAACGGAAACGGAGAGGAAGCCTCAGCGCCAGCCTCCTCTCCCGGCCTCGCGTTAGTGGATCCCTGCCGCTCCGGCGCTTGTCAGTAAACGGGAGTCAGCGCACGGTTTTGATCGACACCGGCTGCTCTAGAAGCATCGTACACGCCTCAGCCTGTACCGACTGGAAACGGCAGCGTGAGAGTGTTTTCACTGTGAGCGGTGAGCGGAGCGAGTGCGACGGAGTAGGGCAGGTCTCGGTGCGTTTGGACAATGGTGCAGAGGCTCACATTGACTCGCTGGTTGTCAGAGAGAAGCCGCTGGGCCTTGACATGATCCTGGGAATGGACGGCATAAAAGCCCTCGGCGGCGTGACCGTTCTGTCGGAGAGGCAGTGTCAGTTTGGTGTCGAAACAGAAGCTGCAATTACAGCAACGGCTGTGATGGAAATCGATGAGTCGGACTTCAGGGTCAACTATAACGAGAGAGACCGAAAATGGACTGTAACATGGAAGTGGAACGATGAGAAGGGACCAAAGGAATTAAGAAACACGGTAGCAGAGTATCGGATGGCGCCGACCGCCAGGGACAAGTATCAAGAGGAAGTGGAGGAGTGGGCATCCAATGGCTGGCTGATACCTTACAACGAGGAGGAGCATGGACCTGTGCGAGGAACCGTGCCACTGATGGCAGTCGTTCAGCCCAACAAAGAAAAAGTGAGGCCTGTGATGGATTTTCGCGAACTGAACGAGTACGTGACAACCCACACGGCCGACGCCGATGTGTGCGCCCACAAGTTGCGTGAGTGGCGGCGGAAGGGGACAAACGTCGCACTCATCGATCTGCAGAAGGCATACCTCCAGATTCACGTTCACAGATCGCTGTGGACGTACCAGACGGTCGTCTTTGGAGGGAAACGGTACTGCTTGACCAGACTCGGGTTTGGGCTGAAATCAGCACCACAGATCCTGAAAAGGGTGGTCGCCACCGTGCTGAACCACGACGAGAAGATCCGTGACGCAACATCGCCATATATGGACGATATCTTCGTGGATGAGAGTGTGGTCAGCGCCGAGCGCGTTGAGGACCACCTGCGTCAATATGGGCTCGAATGCAAGCCCGCAGAACGCGTGAGTGGCAATGGAGCTCGTGTGCTCGGACTTCGTGTCCGAGAGGAGGGAGAGCGGCTGAGATGGGAGCGTGACAATGAGATGGGACAGATTCCGCAGCGCCCGACACGCCGAAGTGTATTTTCGTTGTGCGGGCGGCTGGTAAGTCACCTACCAGTCTGTGGCTGGCTACGAGTCGCCGCCTCGTTTGTGAAGAGAAGAGCCAATGCCGTAACGGCGGCGTGGGATGATCCGGTCGAAGACCCCCAGGTCTTGGAGATGATGAGCGAGATGGTGAGCCGAGTACGGGAGAGCGACCCGGCTCGCGGCCGATGGGACGTCTCTGGCGACGCGGCTACTCTCTGGGTGGACGCCAGCTCAGTGGCTCTCGGAGCGGTACTGGAGGTGAACGGTGACGTCATAGAAGACGCGAGCTGGCTCAGGAAGGACGACTGCGGCCACATCAATTTGGCAGAGCTGGAAACAGTCCTGAAAGGCCTGAACCTGGCGGTAGCGTGGGATATGAAGGATATCCGTTTGATGACCGACTCGCAAACCGTATTCCACTGGCTGTCTGACGCGCTATCGGGGAAGGCTCGGATCAAAACGAAAGCGGCCAGTGAGCTTTTGATCCGCCGACGTCTTCAAACGATCACTTCCATCGCTGAGGAGTACGACCTCAGAATAGACGTCCACTTCGTGCCGTCTGCAGAAAATAAAGCGGACAGCTTGACCCGAGTGCCTAACAGGTGGCTGAAAAGAAAAGAAGTCGGTGATCCGGTATGTGCTGCTGTCGGGGAACTGACGTCAGCAGAGGTGACGCGCATCCACGAGATAGTCGGACACCCTGGGATTCGGCGCACCCTGTACCTCTGCCGCAGAAAGTCGCCAACAGTGTCGCGAAAAATGGTACAAGGCGTGGTGCGCCGCTGCATTAAGTGCCAGTCAATTGACCCTGCACCGGCTACGTGGCCCAGAGGCAAGCTGAGCGTGGAGACTGTGTGGTTCAGAGTGGGCGTGGACGTGACGCACGTGCAAGGAAGTCACTATCTAAGCATGATAGATTGCGGACCATCACGCTTCGCGATCTGGAAGAGGCTGATTCGTCAGGACGCAAGGAGCATGATTCAGCAGCTCGAGCTGGTTTTCCTGGAGCGAGGTGCGCCAAAGGAGCTGCTGATCGACAACTACCCAGCCTTTCGAGCCTCCGCGTTCTGCGAGTTTGCAGAGAGGTGGGGCATCAAGATCATCTTCAGATGTGCCCATTCTCCAAGTGGAAACGGCATCACCGAGCGGTGCCATCGAACGGTGAAGGCCATCGTCGCACGCTCAGGCTGCAGCGTCATGGAGGCTGTCAACCTGTACAACATCACACCGAAGGATGATGTGGATGCTGGCTCTGCACCGGCGAACATGGTGTACTCGTACGAGGTTCGAGTGCGCGGAATTGGTGGAGACGATGAGCAGAGCCCCGGGCAGGTGATATCCTGTCGGTTCAGCATCGGCGACAGGGTGTGGATCAAGGATCCTAGCAGGAGATGCGATGTACCGAGCGCCAAGGGCACGGTGACGCAAGTGCTGTCCGCTCAATCGGTTGAAGTGGACGGCATTCCGAGACACGTCAGAGATCTGCGCCACGTCACAGACCAGGGCCCGGATCGGGCGGCCGCTCCAGCGCCGCACAGCGACCGTGACGACGGGCCGCTGCTGATCTCAGTACAGCAGCGCAGAAGAGCTCTGGGAGGAGCAGAAAATGACTCAGAGCCACAGCATGGACATGTGCGGGACGCAGACGGTCCAGACGAAACAGAAGTGGAAGAGGACAGTTTCGCGCAAAACGAGGACGCTCAAGCAGATAGGGACGGAGGACTGACGCCAGTAGAAAGGACTGGTCTCAATGGAACACGCACAGCGGAGCCACCACCGGCCCTGAGGAGAAGCACGAGGAGGCGGCAGACCCGAGATATATGTAGTTGTGATCAATTATGATCAGGGAGGAGTGTAGTGTTAATTCGGAATTAGGAAGTTCGTGACAATTGTTGTAGTGTTAATTCGGAATTAGGAAGTTCGTGACAATTGTTATGTTGCCATGGCAACCAGATCAAGGAGCCTGACTTATTGATGTGTTGGTGATCTCTGATTGGCTAGGCCCTAGAATTCAGGGTTTTTGCCGAAGGGGATTGGTGGAGAGGGCATAAGATCGGGGATCACTGTCAGCAAGGCAGCAGTGCGGTGGGAGCAGCGAAGGGGAACGGCAGGTCGGGGAGTCCAGGGATGGAATGGTGTCGTTATTGGGGAGTTCCAGCCCTCTGTGAAGTGCGACTACTTTTGTGTTAACATCGCTTGATATTGACAATAATATCTATCTTTTATCTAACTGGCTGTGAAATCGACCACAAACATGTCTTCGCTACGGGCCACAGCCCCGAGGGTGGCGGCCTCAACTGTCCTGTCCCCGTGAGGCAGGAGTCGGTCGGCCAGGGGCGCCCGCTGCTCGACTCGGACCGGCCCAGTATTGATCGCGTTTGCCCGACCGTTACTGCAACGTAGCGCGGTCCCTGGTGACGGCTCGGTAACGCTGGTGTCACAGCTCCTGGTAACCGCTACCAAGTGCGACACCGGAGTTGACCCAACACAGGCATGCAGCCGTCAAAAACCAAGATCCCCGCCCGGCCCTCCTAAGGGAAGGCAAATCGTTAAAGGTAGTGTGCCAGCTTTCCTGGACCGTATGGAGTTATTGGCCCAGATAAGGAGAACCGGATTTTTTGAACCTATCCATACCTTCAAAACTCATGGAAACGTCTTAAATTCCTCAAATTTTGAGTACCCCAGTGCGAAATTCGCCCCGACGGGTTGTCGGTCGTACCCCAACTACATTTCACACCACTATGAACAATAAATGCACACACTGAAATCGCTATTACCGATATGCTCATCCAATCAAGTTTCGATAAACCCGTTCATCATCATCTCCTGCGGTTTCGAACACGCCTGTTAAGTGGTGCGGTAGACCGCGCCCAAAGCCAGGGCCACGGTAACGTGAGGTAGCCGAGTCGGGGCAGCCTGACCCAAGCCGGGGCCGCGCGTCCTCCCGGTGTCATGTGATAGCCCGGGGCTGCCCGCGGGGATGCGGTAGACCGCGCCCAAAGCTGCGGCCCCGGCTTGGGTCAGCGCACGCTGCCCCGACTCGGCTAACTCACGTTACCGGGGCCCTGGCTTTGGGCGCGGCTTCTGCTCATACTTTGTGGTGCGGTGGTGGTGCGTCGGGCCGCGCGCTCTGACTTCGGCCAAGAAAAATGCGTCAGCTGATCATTGCCATTTCTGCCACTTGCGTGTGGTGAAATGGGGTCATAACTTGAGAGACGGCTTTTTCATATCAATTATTTTACATAAAATCATATTTCAAACCATAAATAATGTTCGACAGCCAAATAAAAGAAACAATGCCAATACAGGCTTACAGTTTAAGGCTCGACATTGTGTTGTCTACGATTAGACAGCTGATAACTCATTCCCGTACGTCGTAACTCTATAATGTCCTTTGCTTATTGTCACATGTGCGCCACATTCGCGATTATTGCCGACGCCTGTTTGCAGGTCAGCCCACTACAGTTGTTATACAATATACATATCGAAAAACTGATAAACTTTTAGGCGAAAAAGGCACTATTCCAGGCCCATTTTTGATTTTTTTTGCAATATTAGGTAAAAACAGAAGCTTCTTATCCTAGGAAAAATAAAATGGGAAATTTGTCAAAGGTGGCACACTACCTTTAACGTGACCGAATCTGACACAAATGTGGGAAGAGTCTGACTCTCTCCTCAGGGTCAGATCTGACCATTGATCACTGACCGATATAAAAGTTTGAACATTTTTATTTTATCTTTATTGCTCAATGATATCATACACGTCATCTGCTTAACGGTAATGACTAGGCGACAAGCTCGATGGAACAATGTTTTTATATTATGCACTGCAGCATGACGAGAATGACACACGGGTGACGAGGGTGTCACGTATTGCTCGCATTTGCTTCTCCAACAGCAGATGGGGGCTTATACGCGAAAAGATGACTTTCTCGAGGTGTGACGGTCCCTTTAATCGTAGTTGAGGACTGGTCGGGGTAAACAATAATTCTGAAGAGCTTCAGAGGAGCTTCTGAAGAGCTTATGTTTCGTATCTTTCGGTGAAAATGGTTCAAACTAGGCAGCAATCTAAATCACAGCTATGTTCTATGCCGAGAGGAGGTTAAAACATCTATCATGTAGGTAACTACGAAGCAACTATCCTTTTCTATAGCCGACTATCGGATATAAGTTTCAACCTAATGCCTTGCAAATCACACCATGTGGATGCATTTGAGCTTCATCACGCAAAACATGCAGTTAGGTGCAGAATGGCTCCAACCTGTTTCTTCTTATTGAGCAAGGCTCCCCCTGCACACCATCACAATCAACGCGGGAAAGGGCGAAGAACTCCAGACATCGCTATGTAACGCCTGCGCCAAAATCGGCCGCCCCTCGCCGGTGCAAAGACCTGTCTTCATCCTCGTCTAGTACTCGTCGTCGTACTGGTCATCCACTGAAGACTGAACCTCCTCATAGTCCTTCTCCAGCGCGGCGATGTCCTCGCGAGCCTCGGAGAACTCGCCCTCCTCCATGCCCTCGCCGACGTACCAGTGCACGAAGGCGCGCTTGTTGTACATCAGGTCGAACTTGTGGTCTAGGCGCGCCCAGGCGTCCTGAATGGCAGTGGTGTTGGTCAACATGCAGACGGCGCGCTGCACCTTGGCCAGGTCGCCGCCGGGCACCACGGTCGGCGGCTGGTAGTTGATGCCGACCTTGAAGCCAGTCGGACACCAGTCGACGAACTGGATGGTCTTGTTGACCTTCATGGCTGCGATGGCGGCGTTGACGTCCTTGGGGACGACGTCTCCCCGGTACAGAAGACAGCAGGCCATGTATTTGCCTTTGCGAGGGTCGCACTTGACCATCTGGTTGGCCGGCTCGAAGCAGGCTTTCGTGATATCATGCACGGACATCTTCTCATGTTGAGCCTTCTCCGCGGAGATGACCGGAGCATAGGTGACCAGCGGGAAGTGGATACGCGGGTACGGCACCAGGTTGGTCTGGAACTCGTTAAGGTCGACGTTCAGCGCGCCGTCGAAGCGCAGTGAAGCCGTGACTGAGGAGACGATCTGCCCGATCAGCCGGTTCAGGTTGGTGTACGTCGGGCGTTCAATATCCAAACTCGACTTGCACAACTCGTAGATGGCTTCGTTGTCGACCATAAACTCGACATCAGTGTGCTCCAGGGTGGTGTGCGTGAACAGGATCGCATTGTACGGCTCCACAACCGCTGTCGAAACCTGCGGCGCCGGGTAGATGGAGAAACACAGCTTGGACTTCTTGCCGTAGTCGACGCTGAGACGCTCCATCAGCAGCGAGGTGAAGCCGGAGCCGGTGCCGCCTCCGAACGAGTGGAACACCAGGAAGCCCTGCAGTCCTGTGCTGCCATCCGCCAGCTTTCTGAGGGCGTCCATCGTCGCGTCCACTATCTCCATACCGATGGTGTAGTGGCCACGCGCATAATTGTTGGCTGCGTCCTCCTTTCCAGAGAGGAGCTGTGACGGGTGGAACAGCTGGCGGTAGGTACCGGTACGTACCTCATCCACCACCGTCGGCTCCAGGTCCACAAACACAGCTCGCGGCACGTGCTTGCCGGCGCCCGTCTCCGAGAAGAACGTGTTGAAGCTATCGTCGGCAATACCAATGCTGGCGTCGGAAGGCATCTGGCCGTCGGGCTGGATACCGTGCTCGAGGCAGTAGAGCTCCCAGCAGGCGTTGCCCATCTGGACGCCGGCCTGGCCAATGTGGATGCTGATGACCTCGCGGTTTGGAGTTACCTTCGACATTGTGGCAGAGTAGGATGACAGCTTCTACGACCACTGACAGACTGTGGGAGCTCGAGGAGCGCGAGTCCAGCCGTGGCGCCAGTTACGTGCGCCGGGCAGGAGAGGCCGCCGGAGCCGACGACGCCGTCACCCCACAGCAGCAGCGTCACCTCCGCTACCTACCGACCGTACACGCTCTGACAGCGCATGGGCCCTCGAAGTTCCCACATGACCGTGTCGGCAGCCCGCCCTTCGTCGGCAGCACTGTGTCAGGCACCACGAATCTGTGTTGCATGTCGTTGCCGGGAGCCGAGCAGTCACCGTAACCCGACATCGATCACAAAGGGTCACACCAGGCACGCAACGCCGCGTCTGCACGGACGCCCTGACCCCGAGCGGCAAACACTGCGGTCGACCTACATACAGTGGGCAGACATTCCTCACAATAGGCCGCTCAATATTCGGGTAATAGGGGAGCCATGAAACTGTTGTAAAACATGCATTTTTTATGCCTGCAGCAAACCGAATGAGGTCACGGCTTTCGAGCATTTGCATGAGTATATGCTCGTTAAAGGAGCACTAGTGTCCAGTAATAGTGTTACTGGACGTACTAGTGTTCAAGTACGTCCAGTAACGCTTGCTCAAATATTTGCAGAAAGACTTGCTGCCCTTTTGGTGCAATGTCGACGTTTCATCCACTTTGCTTTTTAGTCACTGCCAGCTCTCAATTGGCCTAAACAATGTGTGATTCGATAGCAAAGCAGCCTATGTATCGCGGTCATCCAAAATTTCCAGTTAGGGCGTAACCGAGTTGGAATCAATCTGCCAGCACTGCGCCCCCACCTGACGAGCGTGCTACCAATCAGTAGCGCCTACATGAGCTGGACGCTTCAGTCGCGTGGTGCGGGTACTCACAGCAGATTGTCCAGACCCAGCACGCCCATACCACGGAAGTCGGTCTTCGGGTCATCTCCCTGGAACCCGATGTCCTTCCATTGTGGAGAGATGCGCTCAGTCAGCTCCGTCTGTGAAACACAAACACACGTCCCGATTAGTAAGGAAGAGGTAACTACGTGCTCAGGAAACTTGTTTATTTGTTTATTTATTGGCATAGCGTCCACAGGCAAAGCCCCACTTACGGATGCAGTCGCACACTGACAATAACAACCACTCACACACACTGGATGGAAATAAATATGAGTGATAACACTGATCAAAATCCAAATAAATTAACAAGATGGCAAGAGCCTAAAAGTAAACCGACAGGCAACAGCCTAAGAATATAGAAGACATGAGCAAAAGCCTAAGAGAATATACAAGTATAGGCACCTGGTGCTTCTTGTATAGAAACGGTGCTTCTGGAGCTTCTCAGCCAATTATGGCGGTCTTCCACACGGTTAAACATACACAATACAACCTCCTGAATATTTTAGAGACATGGAAGGAAATTGGTGGCTGATTGTGTCAAGACCAGTAGCGAGAGGGCGCCACCAGTAATTGTTAATTATTGGGAATCGGGGAGGGCTGGGATCCAAAACTGGGCGATAATAAACAGGGCCTAATTGCTGCCAAACAGGGTCGATGGCGCTAATAAATTGATGAGCCGATGACAAAACAAGCCGCGGCACTGGGACGCGCTGTTTTATCAAAAAGCGATGGATACAGCGAGTGTTAGCAGGTGAGTGGCATTCGTTGTGGCCCGGGGACCCGACCCACCTCCGGGCAGAGCAGACTCCAGAGCTGGCGCAGCTTGGCCTCGTGTTCGGGCTGCGCGGCGTCGTACGGCGTGCGGCGGAGGTGCTCCAGCTCAGCGGACAGCTGCCTGTACCCCCAGATCTGGTCCAGACACACCGAGATGGAGCGAACGAACCTGCGAGAAACGGAGCACAGGGGTGTTCGTCAGTGTGGTACTGACACACGGCATGGTTGGCAGGTGACATCGCATGGTTAACGTTAGTGAGTGCATGTCTCTGGTACAATATATCTGAGGCCGAGACTTCACTCACAAACATTACTCCTTCACACTTTACTCACTGCGAATGTATTTCTGGTTTGATGTCCTTCACTTTCAGTATGGCGAACACGGAGTAGTCGATCACTTGAGCCCGTGACGGACCCAGAAATCGTCTCTCATTCGCCTTTTGGTCCAAGTAGCTCATGAGGTCGATTATTGTCTTGGTACGCGACTGCTTCATGGACTCCTCTAAAACGCAAAACACAGCAGAAGCTATTAGTGTCGCATTGGTAAAGGTAGCGTTCAACATAAGTCGATTCAACGATCGTGACTGATACACATTACAAATACACATAAACAAAACCTAACAAAACCTATGGATAAGTCGAGGCATACGCGTTGCTCGTTCCATCAGGCAGCCACCCCGCAAACTTCCGAAGACTGAGCGGCATTGCACTACGTTTTACTTTTTGTAGCAAAAATGACACCGAATGAATGTGAAAAAAAAACAAAATATACTAAATAGTAAGGCAGCCAAGCTAAAACAGTACAATAAAAACGTTTCCAATAAGCAAAGCGGAGACGACTATACCAGAGAACCTCAATACCGTCGGCTAGGCGATAAGACCCTAGCAATACTTTCTTCGAGGTTGAAGCCGTTCACTCACCAACGCCTATGGACCGCAGTGCGCCGGCCGGTTGGCCATAGCAGATACGCTGCATCTCGCACAGGCGCGTCGTCTTGCGGAGCAGCCATTTGAAGAGCGGACGAAGGTACCACGCGATCAGGTTCCACACGCGCTCCAGCATCAGCATCATGGCTGTAAAAAGAGTAGTAAAGCATCTGGTGATGAGCTGCTGTGTTCCTGTTACATTTGGTATGGTATGGACTCACGGAGCAGCCCGGCTGGCCACTTTTCGACCTCGCTGGTCCCTCGTAGAAGCGAGGTCAGAGGTTCTGCGAGATATCCGCGGACATTTGGGACCCGGATCACCCCTGACTGATACCGGATGCGTCGTCAGAAAAATCAACAACAAATTAAGTTCAGTCTCGGGAACCTTTAGCGGTCCGTCATATAATCGAACTTTAAACACGACACTTTGACGGCTGGAAGCAGCCCGTGGTTTGACGGCTGGTTAAGAATGCTCTTGGTGGGCAGATTCAACCAGCTTTTCGATGACGGACGCTCCTCGCAGTCAGCTACGTTTAAGGTGCGAATATTGAATAACCAGGATTAACAGCTCCATCGATTTGATCCCAGGGCTCTCAGCAATCAACCGGCACAGATCGGGAAACTCGACAAAGGACGATCACGTCGGCCTGGCGCGCAATCTATCCTTTGTGTCGGTCCAACACACCAGGCAATAGACCTGGAGGCCAGAGCTCATCTGGCTCTGGTCACTCTTTGCAACCAGCCACTTAATAATCATGGTTTCACCTGACCTTAGGCTACCTTTAGGCATTTTGCAGTATGTATACAGTTGTTCATGCATTTGAACATTTACAAGAAATTCAACTGGTGCCTAGACTAGAATGGGCAGATTGCCAATGCCATAGCTAAGCAAGGCTCCTAGTGGCTTGCAGAGAATCCTTATTCCTGGATAGAATGAGATAGATGAAAATGAGATACAAAATGGATTCACTGCCAGATTGAGAAATGCAGAGTAGATAATGAATGCAAAACACAAATATAATGATGATAGGTTGAAGTCATATTGATATGAGTTATAAATTTCCAGGCTCATCAGTCATCATGCAATCCTGATGATACATGATCAATATAACTGGACATAGCCCACTCCATTCCAAGACTTCATTTGACCAGGGACAAAACAATAGACATGTGACTGCAAGACCCCCCATCAATATAGTAAATAGTCACTGCTGAGACAGATATAGGCATGCTGTTTTCTTCAGCAGGCGCCAGGCAGTAGCTAATTCTAGAAACAGACTGCCTCAAGCCTCACTACTAGCAATGACTAATAATTTGACTTGGCTATGTTAAAATGGTAACAAGATTCAAGATAAATATAATGAAAACAGCAGTTGTATTTTTTAAGCTTAAGGAAACAAATTACACCTTGTGACTCGTGACATGACAGAAAAACACTTCTTTAGAGAATCTAAAATATCAATATCAAGATGCTCAGCATGCATAAGCTGTAACCATGATTCCCTCTTGTTTGTCTTGATATGATATGTCTGACATTCTCTGATAGTAGTCAAGCAAATGTTGAGCAAGCTCTTGAGATCAATCCGTGCATGTGCTGCATTGTGACTGAATATTCAGGTATATCAATGATGCATCTTGGGATTTCAAGCAGAATATGTTGAGGCACACTGATGTAACTTACCAACTGGTAGTCCAAGCTTCCTACTAGTAACTAGACTGAAGCTGATAAAGTCCAATATCAATATTAATAAAAGCAAGATCTTTCAAAGGTGGGTCAGGGTTGGACTCCAGTCACAGTAGGTAACCTCAGATAGTTCAATATGGGTGCCCTTTGATGCGTTAAAGGGACCCTCCCACCTTCAAAAAAGTTTATGAATTGGCATGAAAGTGATGTCGCTCGGTTCAGAAAGAGCGAAAACGAATATCTACCAAATTTCACCGAAAAATATTCACCGGTTTTCAAGATATTACTTTTACTTTTGTTTACTTTTTTGGGAGCTCCGCTGTTTCTAGCGACTTTATTTTAGAAGTGCGGCGTTTGCGGCAGATGTTGCACGCAAATAGCATATACCACCGCGTGCTACAAAACGTTTTAGTCAAACATTTAAAAATCCTTAGATATTTGCGCTGACGTCACACATTCAGAGGGGTATTCCTAAGCATTAGCCCCTCTGAATCAAAATGCTGCAATTTTGAAATTCAATATTTCCGATTTAAGGCATTTCTCGATGTTGTGAGTGCCGAAACCGGTAATTGTGAGCCAGGGACCCCATTTTGGCTATCTCAACTCAAATCTAATGTTAAGGTGGGAGGGTCCCTTTAACTCCAGCAAGGCCTTATGCAAGTTATGCAGGCTATAACTGTTGCGCAAAGCAGGCAGTATGTATCTTACTTAATGAATTAAACCGCACGAAAAACTTTCAAAAACCAAAACCCAATTATCAAACGATGATGCGGCATAGGATCAATTATCAAACCCATCAAACACCAATCGTAACCGAGGAAATCAATTGAAACAAATGCGGTAGAACTGTCGTAATTTCGTCAAACTTTTTACTTCTGTACATCGTATTTTGAATTGTATGGGGGAAAGTATTGATATTTTTCTCTTTCTCCGCTCCTGGTTAAAAAGCACAATTTGATTTTCGATGATTGAAAAGAAGAATAAGGGTGCAAAAAGAGACGCAGGAAACAAATTTTTTCAAAATGAATTTTCAAAAGCAATAGACAAAAGCTTTCAGAAAGTTGCCCAAAAATGAAAAATAGCAGAGGGAAAACTCCCCAGATTCATGCCAAAGTTCCATCAAAGTTCTATGCAAAGTTCTCAGTATTTTCACTAATTCATCAAAATATCGCTACCTTTGACTCCTATCATTGTACAAAAATAAATTCATTTTGTGCTTATTGCCAGCCGGTGTTTTCGTCGACGTGTATCAAAAAGCGTTTATTTTTTGCTAAAAGGGGGCTGAAGAAGTTGTCGCAGAGTTTGGCCCAAAGGGCCAATAGGTGTCCTGCAGTGTCTACCCACTGTCAGTATTTTTTGTCCATCATTGATTTTGTGGCTTAGCAAAAGAAGCTGAAGACCAACCCAAGGCTATATAAACCAGGTAGAACGCTCCCGACGAAAAAGTGGTGACAAGCGATGATTAGTAGCCGCGACCCTCTTTTGTTCAAAACTATATCCGCAAGCAGCATTTACAGGCTAGCGGAAATCGACCAATCGGCGTTCGGCAATACTCAACGCTGATTGGCCCGATGCTCGTGACGAAATTGCGGGGGACTGCAGCTATTCCCCTATGGCGTTTAATAGACTTACGGCTTTTGAAGGGGATTTGTACCAGTTTTTGTTGGGTTTGAGGCCATTTTTGAGCTTGGATATTCTTTCTGTGACTTTTGACTGTGTAATAACGACATTTAATCATAACATTTCTATATACTACCGGTGTCACATCGACCAAAAAGACCGTAAGTACATGGGATAGACGGACCACTGCTGATGGGGCCACACATGCCGGCGTGTGGTCATCGGAGGCCCATGAGGGCTCGACATAGGCCCTTCATGGGTCGGTATAGGCCCGGTGGGTCCAGTGCAAGCCTATCAGGGGCCGGTGCTGACCCAACAGGGCCCAGTGACATATAATGTAAGGCCGTCTAGGGACGTTGAGGGCTCATGGGGGCCATATAGGACCAATAGGGACCACATAAGCCAATCAGGGGCCATTTAGGCCAATAAAGGCACTTCAAGGGACTTGAAAAGGTCATTCAAGAGCTGTGGTGGGCCCATGAGAGGACGGCACTGGTCCAGCAGGTGCAGTCAGGGGATGTTGTACGGGTTTCTCAGTGGCCCATTTGGGCATATCAGTGACCAATTTAGACCCAGCAGTGGGCTTTGTAGACCTATCAGGGGCTGGTGATGGTTCATCAGGGGCCAGCGTTAGTCCATCGGGGCACGGCATATGCCCATCAGAGGTAATTGCGAGCCCACGCTGAACAATGCTGGCCCTTCAACGGCCCCATGGATCTACATTGACCCATGGGCCATGATGCGTCATGTATGCCCCTATGACAGGCCTACTCAGACCCCTGATGGACGTTCCCGGCCTCTGATGACCCTATGCTGAATGCTGATGGGGCTCTAAGAGTCTCCAATAACCCTTCGTCACCCCATTATTACCATACGCTGGCATTAGGGACCCCACATCAGCCGCAGGGCAGTCCGTACCATGACAGCATGTCTTTTCGGCCGATATTTCATCGGTAATATTTATCAAAATCATGATTTTATGGTGCCATTATATAGGTAACAGTCATAAGAAATATATTTCAACTCGAAAACAGCTCGAAACAGCATATAATTTTAAAGAAACCCCTCCGAAATCCAAAAGCCTATTCGGGTCCATAGAGAATAACTGCGGTCCCCCGCAATTTCGTCACGAGCGTCGGACCAATCAGCGTCGAGTACCGCCGAGCGCTGATTGGTGAATTTTCCGCTAGCGTGTAAGTACTGCTCACGGAACAAGAGTTCGTCGACAATCCTCCACAAACGTCTGTCACCATTTTTCATAATGCTAAACAGCCGGAGCGTACCCCCCTGGACCAACCCTTATTTCAAGTTATGGCTGAAACAAAAAATCCACTCAAAGATAAATTGAATGACGATGAATTGGATCTGAGTATATGTAATTATGCTGATAAAGATGTTCCAGTCAAAGATATAGTAAGTATATTTCACAATGGGGTTGCTGATATTACTGCATTCATCGTGCGGGGATGTCATAGGATGTAATTCAAATTCTTACCTCGTAAGCATCACAGTTTGACATGGTCAAGGTCTTTGTTTGAAGGTTTTTAGGAGCAAAGATGGACCTATGATTTTCTTTTATCAGGAGCTGATGTTATGCAAAAACATGTGTTCCAATATCCAGGGTCAGTTAACCCTATTCCTGGCGGGGGGGCCTCAGGAGCCCCCCCTGAGGTTTTTTGGTTATATCTCCCAAACGCGTTGAGCTAGGAAGCTCAAATTTTCTGACTTTTCCTAAAAGGCTTCTACGCAACATGTCTGAAAATTTTGAGTTGATCTGACCTCAGGTCAGGTCACCAGAGGCGGTTTGGTGACGCTACCTCAGAAAAGTTTGCAATCACGCCAGAGCTAGAGTTTTTGACCGATCAATTTCTTCTCTTCAGGGTTTAGTTAGGGTACCAGTATGTGCAATTTGTATATCTCGGAATTTTGATATCGGTGACCTAAGGTCAGGTCAATTTCGCGACCTCCCCATTATAAGTCAATGGGGGAAAAATCAACTCCCTGTTTTTACCACTAAAACGGGTCGGAATGGCCCCATATACCATACATGACTTCATATACGATCAACCTTCACTACCTTGAGGTCTGTTTTGCTGTTGGGCAGCTGTGAGGTCATGTGACGTCATCAAAGGTCACCAAAGGTTTTTGGCCAATAACTCCGTACAGGAACAAGATACAGACGCGTGGATGGTCTCATTGTGTTCAGCTCGTCAAAACGCATCGAATGATATACATGATGACCTCGAGGTCACGTGACCTGAGGTCAACCTTTGACCTTGACCTTTCGAGGTCAACATATATATCATTCGATGCGGATTGACGAGAGGATCACGATGATGCCCTTAGTTTGTTCCTATCTTGACTAATTCGAAAGTTATTCGAGAAAAACTCTCTCCATATCTAGTGCCGCCATTTTGACTTTTTCGACCCCTGTGACGTCATCTTTGACCTGACCTGAAAATGACCTTTGTAAAAATTGTAGATCTTGGCCGTGCGTATCCGATGCCGTTTACCGCTTGTCGCTATCTTGCTTCGTTCTCGAGATCTCAGGGGGGCCGAATCGGCCCCCCCCCCGCCAGTTTCTTGTCCCGGCGGAGCCCGCCAGGAATAGGGTTAAGTGAATAATTGGAGCATCCACAAGAAAAGTTCACTTTTTTCAGTGTTTGACCAAGACAGAATGATCATGTTTCTGCAGCTCCCTGCACTAAGACATGATAATTATGGCATTGTGGCTCCCTAAAATTTTTAATTACACAGGGTGCCATATTTCTCTGGCTATAGGGGCTTCAGCCCCTGGACTGGAGCCCCTCCTGGGGGCTGGGATCAGGCCATGTTTCAGGGGGTCCCTGTGCATGGCATATCATGAGTTTTACCATTGTGTGGAGCAGATATTGTGTGGAATTGTGTGAGCTGTTTTGTGGTGTGGTGCTGGATTATTGTGTTGATGCAATGCTGGCCACAGATTTGATATGCAAAAGACATCAGTGTCAGACAGGAACATTTTTTTATAATTCCTAGATTCTCATGTCACAAGTAAATGACTGTGAGAATAAATTTGAATTTTAAAATGAACAGCTTACAGCAGTGAAGTATATTGAAACCTACATAATAGGTGAAACACTAAGCATTTTGCTGCATTTTAAGCTGTAGTGCACATCAGGATTCTACCACCAGACAAAACAAATGTCATGCCAGTAATGATTGTGATCATGTGACAAGGTCATGTCTAAAAACTCAGCATTGCTCAGAATAAATCACTGACTAGGTACCTACCTATTCCATTAAGATATTAACTGAAGGCTTGTTCATTTCAGGCTCTTCTGAAGAGGGCAAACAAGCTTGACTTATCAAATAATAAGTTGATTGGCCTGCCTGTAAGTACCTACCTGAAACTTTAAGATATTTTTATGCTAGATATGTTGTTAACATAGGTACTTTCTGTTAGGTACCAAATATTTTACCCTAGGCACTACCAATAGATTTTGGATGAATAATAAAATATTTGTAAAATTCACATCTCCAATTTGGATGGCACATGATTCTAAGGAAGAAGTATGTCTATTTAACCCTAAAAATAAGTAACTATTCTTTGTGCTGTCTCTTTTTATGACTGGGAAAACATGGGAAAATAATGAGGGCAAGATAGTATCTCTAATGTAAAATCCTATACAGGAACTTACTTCTGTTCATTTTCCTACGATCTAACGATTTTCTGTACGACTTTCTTCATTCTTGTATTTTTATTTTGTTTTTGTTTTTGAATTTTTATCGATAATCGTTAGACCATATTTAGGCTAACTCTTCAGTCTTCATGTTACTGAGGTGCACTTATCCAGCTGTGGGTATTTTGTTTCACAGAAAACATTTGCAACACTGACTCACTTGGTGAAGCTTGATCTTAGCTGCAACCTTATCGTTGAGCTGCCAACCAACTTTGGAGAACTAGAACGCCTGAAGCATTTGGACCTCTACAACAACAAGGTATGGAGACCCTCGTACATTGCTCTACGCGACGAAACCTACATGATAAATTATTTCATTAAGCGGGTCTGAGCCCTGAGGCGATCTTTTTTCGTGCCCTTTGTCGTCAGGCTGTACGTATGATCCTCGCTATCTCTTAGTCGCTCGCTGGACGTCGATGTGGGCGCCTTTGCGTGCACGTGCCGCCCGCCGACCCGCATTGTTTCCGTGCCTCCAGCTCACTCACCTTCCGGTGAGTTTCCACCGGCTCACGTCGCTGCGATGGCTGGACCTGAAGAACAACCCGCTGAGCTCTCAGCTGGCGGCCGCCGCCGGCGAGTGCCTCAACCCCAAGGAGTGCGAACAGTGCGCGCGCCGCGTGGTCCAGTTCATGGGCCGCGTCAAGGAGCACTACGACCAGGAGCGAATACGGCGGCAGCAGCACGAGAAAGGTGGGCACTGCGGCACTCCCGGCCGCGCCGGGGCAGAAGGGTTCCCTGTTCGGGTCATATTGGGCCCTGCTAGGCGGTGGACTCGGTTTCAAACTTACCGTAGAGGCCGAAGGGCGGGCTCTGGTGGGAAGTGGACTGCCGGTTCATGGTGGGCCCTGATCTCACACCACCCGGCCGTAACTGCTCCGGGGTGGGAGGACCTCCGGGGTGGGGGAGGCCGGTCGTTGTTCTGGTGCGGAGTTCCACCGGCATGCTTTTGCACTTCCCTGCCCCATTCATCGTTCATTTCAGTGTTTGGAGTCCTATTCAAAATTCGATGGTTCTGTAAGGTTTGGTTTAATTATATTAGTTGATTCGTCAAATTCAAAATACATTTAAATCAATTATACTCAGGGCAGGCTTAGTTCTGAACTATAATAAAAGTCTATGTAAGACTTTTGACACTCCGAATCCATTTTGTGTAATTATTTTGCGTTTTGGATTAAGCATTTTCTGATAGCCTGGAAATCAGATTCTGTTACAGCATAAGCAATGTCAGTCTCAGTAAGTGCTGAAAAACATGCTTATTGTAAGAGGCAATGCTCTAGCAATGCACAAGCATCGGTTTTATCCATATTTGATTTATCGTGAAATAATATCTGAAGAATTCGTATTTCGAAAAGTATCACAATCGTCATCAACAGAGCTCATGCAAGCGAAGTTGGCGGCAGAAGAGGCAGAAAAAGAGAGGTTAAGGCTGGAGAAAAAGGCTAAAAAGGAGAAAAAGAAGCAAGAGTTGAGGGAAATGAAGATAGAGAATCTGCACCACCATCACCCCGATCACGCAGAACTGAAAGCGTCTCTGGTGGAGGAAAAGAGTGTCAAATCATCCAAAGCAGAGAGTGGTAAGTCCAAGTGCTCAAACTGTTCCCAAATAGCTGCCATTTGTTCCAAATGCTTGGGATATATTTGTTTTGTGTTCGTTTGTTTTGCTCGCATCTAGTTATTTTGACCCAATTTTGGGTTTCTGAAGTGAACTCCCGTGCTCGCCGCTGACCGATCGTTGTTGCAGGTGGCGGCCTCTCGTTCGTCGGGAAGCTGAACCTGGTGCTGCTTCTGACGGCCGTGGCGCTGGTCGGCGGCGCCCTCTACCTGCAACAGCGCGGCGGCAGGGCGCCCAGCGCCGGTCTGCCCGCCGACCTGGCCGGCCGAGCCATGGACTTCTCCGTGCGGGCGTTCGAGCGTGTCTCCGAGCTGGGCACCAGCACCGGCGACCTGCTGGTGAAGCAGACGCTGGCGGTCTGGAGGTGGGGCGGGGAGCTGGCCGCGCAGATAGACCTGTACCTGACGCAGGCGCTCGGCGAGTCCTGGCACTCCACCAAGGCGGCCGCTGGGGAGGCCGGCAGTGCGCTGAGCCGGGTCTCGCGCCGCGCCGGCGAGCAGAGCCTGGCACTGCTGTCGTACGCGGTGCGGCGGGCCTGGGAGTCGGCTGGCCCTCTCTGGGAGGCGGCCTGCGACCAGGCGGCGCGACTGCGACAGGACGCCGGCCCGCTGCTGATACAGTGGACCGAGGCCGGCTGGCGCGCGCTCGTCGACTTCTGGGCGGCCGTGCAGCGCGAGGCGCCCGGGTACGCGGCGGCCGCCTGGGAGGTGGCCTGTCGGGTCGCCCAGGGCGTCTGGATGATGTGCTCTGACGGCTGGGAACTGGTCAGCACCCAAGTGCCTGTATACGCCTCGCTGGCCGCTGAGCGTCTCACTAAACTGGTGGCGTCCGTAACAGGTGGTTAGGGGGCGCTGCTGGCCTCAGCCACATCGGCCAGCGATATATCCTATTTTGTTGCTTTCGGTTTGGTGATTTTACGCGAATCTATCAGTTGTGCGTAAAATGCATGGGATTTGGTTTCTACGGGCATAATGGGTTGGTGGGAAATTCAGCGGGGCAACTTTGTGCGTTTAAGCACCAAGCTGTGTGCATCCAAGGGGTGTGGCGTCACGTTTTGCAACGAACCTTTGGCTGCATGTTGTGACGAAAACAAAAGGTACTGTGCGGATCGTGTGCCAGCAAAATGACGTTGTGTATGAGTTCCTTGATCCCATTAACGGATTGCTTTTGGCTCAAGTTTCGGTTGGGTTCTTCGCGTTTTGGTGGTTCTGCATTGCTACGATGATGGCTTCGTTGTTAAATTAGCTCATTCTGGTCATTTTTCAATTTTGGTATGGATCAAGCGGAGACCCAGCGACAAGAATATTATTTGTACGAGTTTAGGGTCACTGGTAAAGATATGGTCGTTTAATGTGATACGAAGCCATTCCGCTCACACATCCAAATGATCTTATGTGTGATAAAATAAACGGTGAATTAACAATATTTTGATTAATTGTGGAGAGTGATAGTGCCTGTTAAATATTTTATATCATTTAACTCCAATTCCAAGACGATACAATATGCCTGGCTATGAGGAAATTGTGTTTGTCGGGAACAACAAATTACTAACACCTGCTTGCTATTTTTGGATGAGATGGTATTGAGCTATAAGTAAGGTTATAAAAAGGCCACTTGTTGCTTGCTCTACGTGACCTTCACGTAGTCCGGAATGAAATAGAGTGTAGAGAACCTCACTCGCGTTCTGTGGTTGATACGGACCACGGGCACGGGGTTCGCGGGTCCGGGATGGGAGCTTTTCGAAGACTTCTGCCGATTTCTGCGGTTGATGCGGACCACGGGCACGGGATGGGAGCTTTTGGAAGACTTCTGCGTATGCTCCTTGAACCACAAAGCTTATCGGATAGAACGTTAAATGCCTAAAGCTCAACTTTTCCAAATTTATTTCATTGAGCCACTACTGTTGAGTCCGAGAGCCGAATTGTCATTTGTCACGATCTGTGGTGTGCAGTTTGTGTGTGCGGCTAGCCGGTATGTCTTGAGGTCGTTCGTCGAGCTTTCCATCCGTTTGTCGGTCGATCCACTTTTATGTCCGTCTGTACGGTCGTCCGTTCCTCGATCCGTCGGTCCATAGATTTGCACGTCAGTCGGTCGTTACGCCCACCCGTCAATCCATACCACTACCTGGTTAAGTCTGTTTGTTGATCCGTTCATCCATCCGTCGTTCTGTAGGTCTCTGTGGTCCGTACGTCTATCAGTTAGTCCTCAAGTCCACCTGCCTTTCCCGACGTCAATGTATTGTTGGGCCCGTACATACGTCCGTTTGTCCGTTTAACCATCTGCCCACCGGTCGGTCGACCTATGAACCTGTTCGTCTATCCATCCTCGCAACCTTTCGGTCGGCTCGCCCGTCCGTTCACCCATACCCGTCTGCCGGCTGGTCCATACGCACATCCGTTCCCCTATTTATCCGTCTCCCAGCATCCCCCCTAACCGTTTCCCATCCTGTTATCCATCTATCTATCCGTCTATCTATCCTCCCATCCGTCGGCGGTAGTCGGCGCCATTTGTCGCCTGGACCCGCTCCGCACGGTGGTCCCATTAGCCGGCCCCGTCAGCCATCTGGTTCGCAGCCGCTCCGCGCAGTTTCTCCGCACAATCGAAAGTGAAGGTCGCAAAACGCCAGCCAGCCGTCTAAAAAATGCTCCCTTGGAACCCAGAGGACTCGGTGTAGCAGCCTTCTAAAGGTTTACAGCTTAGAACAATTGTTTTAGAAATGGGGATAATGGAAATGTATTCCTCGTGTCGCATAAAGTGTGACTTTTTCTAGGTGATCTTGTGCTAAAAGTTAAATATCATACGCAGAAGAAATGTGCCAAAATGGTGATACTGCGCACTGTTCACGGCGCCGTTTCTACGCGTCGACTTAAGCTCTGGGTAAAACTTCGGGGGACCGGGGAAGACAATATCAAGCACCCGCTCACGTCAGGATGTCCGCTCACGTCCTGCATATTGATATGAGGCGACAGTTGTGAGTGATTTCGCCGCGCTGTCGTGCAGCTGCCAGGAGCGGAGGGGGAGGGTGACGCTGTCTATGGCGATGTTTACCGAGCCTTTGTCGGCGAGATGCCGTGTCACCGATATCTCGCTCTCACCGGTCCACACCCAGAGCCCTGCACCGGGCTGCACCGCCTCTCGGCGGCAGACTTTCCGTCCGGCGTGTCACGGCGGGCGGTTTCGTTTTCATTTTGTGTCCCGTCTAGCCGAGCTTTGGGCTCAAAGTTAAGAGTTGTGAAGCTCGTATGGCTCGAGAGGCTGTTTTCCCGAACAACTATTACTGGTTTAAAGGTAGTGTGCCACCTTTGAAAGATTTCCCATTTTATTTTTCCTAGGCTAAGAAGCTTCTGTTTTTACCTAATATCGCAAAAAAAATCAAAAATGGGCCTGGAATAGTGCCTTTTTCGCCTAAAAGTTTATCGGTTTTTAGATATGTATAACAACTGTAGTGGGCTCACCTGCAAACAGGCGTCGGGCAACAATCGCGAATGCGGCGCACTTGTGACAATAAGCAAAGGTCATTATAGTGTTACGACCATACGACGTACGGGAATGAGTTATCAGCTGTCTAATCGTAGACAACACAATGTCGAGCCTTAAACTGTAAGCCCGTATTGGTACTGTTTCTTTTATTTGGCTGTCGAACATTATTTATGGTTTGAAATATAATTTTATGTAAAATAATTGATAAGAAAAAGCCGTCTTATAAGTTATGACCCCATTTCACCACACGCAAGTGGCAGAAATGACAATGATCAGCTGACGCATTTTTCTTGGCCGAAGTCAGAGCGCGCGGCCCGACGCACCACGCGTATTTGGAAATTCCGACCTCGACGAGCATCAGAAGCCACCTAACAGGCGTGTTCGAAACCGCAGGAGATGATGATGAACGGGTTTATCGAAACTTGATTGGATGAGCATATCGGTAATAGCGATTTCAGTGTGTGCATTTATTGTTCATAGTGGTGTGAAATGTGGTTGGGGTACGACCGACAACCCGTCGGGGCGAATTTCGCACTGGGGTACTCAAAATTTGAAGAATTTAAGACGTTTCCATGAGTTTTGAAGGTATGGATAAGTTCTAAAAATCCGGTTCTCCTTATCTGGGCCATTAACTCCATACGGTCCAAGAAAGCTGGCACACTACCTTTAAAGGGACCCTCCCACCTTAACATTAGTTTTGAGTTGAGATAGCCAAATTGGTGGCCATGGCCTGCAAATACCGGTTTGGGCACTCACAACATCGAGAAATGCTTTAATTCGAAGATATGGAATTTCAAACTTGCAGTTTTCGGATTCTAAGGGGCTAATGCATTGGTATGCCCCCTTAGAATTTGTGACGTCAGCGGAGATCTAACGATTTTTAAATCTTAGACTAAAACCATCGTTAACACGTGGTGGTATACGCTGCTTTGCGCGCAACGTCTGCCGCACTTTAAGGCTGCCAAATTATTGCTTCCAAATAAAGTCGCTAGTAACAGGGAGATCCCAAAAAGTAAACAAAAGTAAAAGCCTAATATCTTGAAAACCAGTGAATATTTTTCGGTGAAATTTGGTAGATATTCGTTTTCGCTCTTTCTAAACCAAGGGACATCACTTTCATGCCAATTCATTAACCTTTTTGAAGGTGGGAGGCAGGGGCCCGGGAACGATTTTGAAGTTGGGGGGGCGAGCCTAAAATACCTGACATGATGCATATGAAACAGTGGCGTAGCTAGGGGTCTAAGGGGACACGTACCCCCCCCCCCATCGGGATAAAGGGGACCCTCGGGTCCGAGGGGCCCTGCGGCGCCATTTGACCGCTGAGGGTTAACGATGGCCATATTTCTACTCAGAAGGGCCCCATGGGGCTCGTCAGAGCACCTCATGGGCCCTAAATAGCCACACTAAGATCTCCATAAGGGTCCGACGCCGGCGTCTGAGGGCCTCTTGCGGCTTTTAAGGACACCTTGGTGATCTCCAAAGGCCCGTTACTGGCCTCTGAGAGGTCTTACCGGCCTATGAGGTGCCAGTTCTAGGGGCATTTCCCGCCTATGATGGTCCCACACTTAATTTTCTGAGGGCCCCATAACGGCAACTGTGGGGCCCTCGTCGGCGCCTATGAGGGCCTGTCTCTAAGGACCCCACAGGACTTCTTCTGCCGGCGTAAGGTCCCCTTGCCGGTCACTGAGACTCCCTGCCGGCTTGTAGAGAGTTCGCGTCAGCAGCACTAAAGGCCCCACACCCGTCTGTAACGGCCCCACACCAGCGTCTATGAGGATCCACAGCAACGCCTGTAACTTGTAAGGACCCTCATCGGCGCCTCTGAGAGAATCACACTAGCACCTCTGAGCGCCCACACCGGCACCTGCATGGCGGCCCCACACCAGTGCCTCTAAAGGCCCCTTACCGGCGGCTCTGTGGGCCCTACGCCGGTGATTCTGAGGGTGCTACCGATAACCGAAGGCACCACACAAGCCCTTAGTGTCGCTGAGCTTTAATCCCATACCGGCCCTCCGAGGGCGCCACGTCAGTGCACTCATTGCCCCACACCCCTCCATCACATCCGGAGCGGGTAAACTGTGTTATACCTATAATAGCAACGATTTTACCACCGTTGTACGTTATGTATTTCTCAAAGCTGACTCAAGCTGGTGCAGTATAAAATCTGGCCTGCCAAACTTATGGCCACGATCAGGCCCAAATCAAAGCGGGATGACAATAGTCAATGGCAGATGTTGTCAAATCGATACCTACTGTATCAGCAGAAACCATTCAGATGGCAAGGAAAATGCCATGTGTTGATGCGTAGATGTATGAAGGAAACAAGAAGGAAAAAGGTCCGGAAAAGGGAGGAAAGATCTTTTCTCGCTGCCTCAATGTTGAGGGGGCGCCGCCCCCTCGGCTCTCAAGTTGGGGGGGCAAGCGCCCCCGCTGCCCCCCCTGTTCCCGGGTCTATGGTGGGAGGGTCCCTTTAATGGTTATTAACTGGTCGTATCATAGTCTTTATCTTATTTTGCAAGTTGAATGTTTATTTGATATCGGCACACACAGAACATTATATAAAAGCTACCCCTAGCCTGCTCAAGATCACCAGCGAGTCAGCGACATTGAACGGGAGCTTTTTCAAACATGCCTTGTTTCAAACTTTGGGAGCCATTGCGGTGTGGAATACATGGCCCAAGCTGTTCGATGTCGCTTCTAGCCGTTTGACCCACATAGGTCAACAAAGGTCACGGCCCGTAATTGACACAGCTGATTGTGGTCCGCCCAGTGGAGCTAGAACGCTGAAAATGGCACCGAGGAAAATGGCACCGACGCATCTTGAATCTGGGCTGAATCTGCGTTGAATCCAGGCTGGCGCCTATGTGCGTCAAATTTTGAACGTTTCATGCCGCCCAGGTCAAACAAGGTCACAACTAGCGGTTTGCGGGAAACGTTCTACGGTCTAATGCGCTGCCAGAAAAAAAAATCGATCGCAATTGTTCCTATTCGTACTATCACGAACTTCTGTGTGTTTTTCGGCTTGACTCCTAAATCGACCTAATGGCAAATCGTCTTTTTCGACCAAAGGTCGGAAAGGTGACCTTTGATCGACCAAAGGTCATGTGACCTTTGGGTAAAAAGTTGCGTGACTTTTGGGTAAAATTGATAGTGAGCAAGCAAGTAGACGCAGGTCCTGGCGAGTCGTTTGATGCCATTTTCAGCACTCTTACTCCACTGGATGGGCCACAATCTGCCGCGGAAATTGAGGGACGCGGGACATTTGTTGACCTCTATAGGTCAAATGGCTTGGAGTGAGTCCTAAAGTTCGGAACCAGGTATTCCGCACCTCAAGGAATTGTATGTGCAAGTTTCAAGTGGATCCGAGGCGTCCCGAATCTGGGCTGAACTTGGGCTGAATCCATGGGCTTGGCCGGTAGTGCGTCGAATCGCTTAACGTTCACGTTGCTCAGGTCAAACGAGATCATAATATGCATTAGTGATTTGCAAGGAAAGCTTCTATGGTCTATTAGGCTACCGAATGATGCGTTTCGACTGCAATCATGCTCTTCTTATATTGATATTGCAGAACTGCCTGCTGTGCAATGTTTTCTTTCCTACCTGGCCCGTAAATGACTAATGGTCGTCGTGTGACCCTTCGGGGTTAAATTGGTAGTGGAAAAGTAGGTGATACATGTCCTGGCGAGTCCTTTGGTGCCATTTTTTAGCGCTCTAGCTCCATTGGATTTAACCATGACCTTTGTTGACCTCTATAGGTCAAACAGTTGGGAGTGACGCCGAATGGTTTGGGCCAATCTCCCCACCTAAGGCTATGTTGTTTGCGAGCTTCTAGTGGGCCAAAGGCTTTCCGAGTACCCATGTAACCGATTTGAATCCATCAGTAAAAAAAAGATAAGTTATTTGATCGTTATCATGTTTATGTATTGTGTGTCTATGAATATCAGACACATTGACTTTATTTGTTAGTCCTTGGATTGACCTCAGATTTGGCCACATCGCATTTCAGTTACCTGTAGGTATTTGCGATAAAGGGTAAATTTAGGTCATTTTAGGTCGTAGTTACCAAGCATAGATCATAGTACCTGACCTGGCCTGGTCCTGGAGGTCGGGTCAGTCCGCTACATTCATGGGGGGATCCAGAGCGTCGTAAGCCTCGTCGTAGCTGCGACGTGTCGCAAGTTGTGTAGTAAGTCGTTTTTGAAGGGATCAATTGATGAGTAGCGTTACTTAAGTTGTAAAGTCTATCGCAAATAGCCTGATTTGCGACACAGCTTACGAATTTGAAATAGCAGTCGTAAGTTGTGTCGCAAGTTGACCCTTGCCTTGAGGAAGAGGTCACAGGTCACAGGTCATTCGGGTCATGGTCACGAAATTTACATGGTAGGTGCAAAATTGTTTAAACTTTAGATCCTGAAAATTTGGTTGCAATCCGTTGACGCTAACGCGAGTTATAGAGCATGAACTGACGGGTCGTCTAGGAGGCCTCAATCGGTGCCAGCGAGAGTGTTGAAAATGGTGCATAGTATGTTATATTCACATTTATTGGGGTATTCGGGGATATGAAGTAGCCTAACACCATTCCAGCAACTACTGGCGAATCCAGAAAGGCGGTCTTGGACGTTGCAAGGGGCATCTCCCAAAATATTCTCCCCATTCCAAAAACGACGTGTCCCAGCTGACCCCGATGACCTCCAATGAGCTCTGTGATGACCCCAAGTTGACCTTTTTGACCTGGCCTGTCCCAGATGACCTCCGTGACATCCTATTGAGCTCTCTGATGACTCCAAGCTGACCTCTGTGACCTGACGTGTCCCAGATGACCCCCATGACCTCCAATAGAGCTATGTGATGACCCCAACATGACCTTTGTGATCTGACGTGTCCCAGATGACCTCCGTGACCTCCAATTGAGCTCTCTGATGACTCCAAGCTGACCTCTGTGACCTGACGTGTCCCAGATGACCTCCATTTGAGCTCTGTGATGACCCCAACTTGACCGCTGTGACCTGGCGTGTCCCATATGACCTCTGTAACCTCTAAGTGACCTCTATGATGACCCCAAGCTAACCTCTGTGACCTGACGTGTCCCAGATGACCCTCATGACCTCCAATAGAGCTCTGTGATGACCCCAAGTTGACCTCTGTTACCTGACGTGTCCCAGATGACCTCCGTGACCTCCAATTGAGCTCTCTAGTGACTCCAAGCTGACCTCTGTGACCTGACGTGTCCCATATGACCTCCAATTGAGCTCTCTGATGACCTTTAGTTGACCTCTGTGACCTGACGTGTCCCATATGACCTCTGTGACCTCTAAGTGACCTCTCTGATGGCACCAAGCTGACCTCTGTGACCTGACGTGTCCCAGATGGCCCCAATGACCTTCAATTGAGCTCTGTGATGACCCAAGTTGACCTCTGTGACTTGATGTGTCCCAGATGACCTCCGTGACCTCCAATTGAGCTCTGTGATGACCCTAGGTTGACCTCTGTGACTTGACGTGCCCCCAAGTTGCCCTCTGTGACCTGACGTGTCTCAGATTACCTCCGTGGTCTCTAATTGAGCTCTGTGATGACCCCAAGTTGACCTCTGTGACCTGACGTGTCCCAGATGACCTCTGTAACCTCCAATTGTGACCTCCATCTACAACTTTCTTACCTCTCTGTGACCTCAAACTCTCGGAACTCATTTCTTCTAAAGCATAGATTCTAGATGCCCTATAGCCACGAATCTCCTGTGATCGATCCCAAATTTTATGGCAAATCACGTGAGCGTTAGCAACCACAAGTCACCCAGTTAATACAAAGCTTCAGAATCAGAGAACATGCTTGACCTTGCTGTCTCATAAGCTCGCAAACCAGAAAGGCGAATGTTCCTTTATGCGTGATAGAGTTTTCGACCTTACTGACGTTTACTACGGGATCAGCTGATCGTGTAGCCTTTTAAATTCTCGAGTAAAGCGGGTATTTAAGCCTCGTCGCAGCTACGTTCTGTCGTATCCTCCGACAAACCCCTCTTTCCTCAACATCCCTCCTTTTTCGCTACGACACAACTTGCGACGGGACATGTGTCGTAACTTGCGACGTGTCGTAGATGGACTTGCGACGCCCTGGATCCCCCCGGCCTCAATGTATTTTGGTCCGGGCCCCCTTTGCGCCTTGTCTCGGCGCTGGCCATTGGCCGCTGTCACTGTCTCGGCGCCGGCGATTGGTCGGAGGCGGCGCGGCGCCCCTCTCTCGGCAGACGATAAGTAGCGGTGGCGCGCGTGGGCCGCGTTGTGTGTCGCTGTGCCGGTGATTGGGTGCAATAGGAGCAGGGGTGCTTGTCCGACGGCCCGGACACGAGGCTCGCGGGAGGACGTCTGACGTGGGTCCGGAGACATCAGTCACAGTCACGGACTTGGGCGCACTGCAAGGATCCCACGGAGAGCACCGGGCGAGGCATCGCAGAGCCGCGCGGCCGGCGGCGGCTCGGGTCACAGCAGAGGCTCTCCTGTGTGTTGTGCTTAGGCGACCCATCAGTCTGAGCCACGTCTGAGCTGGGGTAAGTGATTAAAAAACTCGGGAAGGTGTAATGTGATAAAGGTGTATGACGTATGTATACTGAGTGTATCAACGTATCAATGTGACATAAGCTGAGCCGTTTAATGCTTACAAACGGCTGTGAAGTTTTTGGCGGGTTCTCCAAAATACTCCAAAATACTCTGTCTCCCCAAGCGGTGGGCTTAAAGGGAGCATAACTCTTGAAGAATAAGGAGTGTTTGAAAATGACTGCTTGTAAATCTTTAGTCCTTAATCCCATCAGAAGTGTGAATCATTTTTGTTCAATGAAAAGCCGGAAAGGGCCGTCTAAATAGACGGCTCTCAAATGGTGGGGTCTGAGGTCTCAATCATCAGCCTCAAAGAAAAACGTCTGCTGTCTTATGATTTATAAGCTTATCAATGTAGACACTACATAGAGCTTGTGAACCTTTTCAAAATAAGCGCGGTGGCACACACAAACCGCTACAAAATAATCAGCTGATCAGTCAATACGCAATCGATCGCTGTCTTTCGATAGTGGCTGCGCTTTTCCTTTTATTGTCTAACGAAGTGTCGTTCTGGTATACGACATTGATAACGCACCTAACCATCGCTACAGCTTAGTTTTTTATTGATTATATTTTTTCCAGATTGTATTATATTGGATAAATGGCATCCAAACAGTTTTCATTTTATGGTTGAAAAACATCCTATTATCACTTAACAACCGACAGCACCGTCGATCGTCCAATTTTTATGAATGCAATTGCGTTATAAGGCATGCTTTTTTGATACATTATGTGTAAAACTTTTGTTCAGTCATCTTGATGGTTGATGATTGTGAATAAGCGCTTCATTAATTATTTAATATCCCCGACTGGCTGAAAGGGAAATATCATAGACGTACTATCGATTGATCCATAGATAACAGTAGAACTTATCTATGTTCTACTGTTATCTATGATTGATCTTATCAGAACCGACGGCCGACCGCACTTCGCGTTTGATGTCCGATCGATTAACGTTTGCCCAAACTTGTGTTGTTCCTAACGAAATTGAAGGTTCCCTCGAATGTTTTTTTTTCTCCAATGTATTAAATGTTAGCTTTAAAACCCAACTTCATTATCATGGATTGCTTATTGAGTGTTGATTCATGGTTAATCGTGCCTGTTGGTGTTCTGTTTTGCAGCTCAAGATGATCGTTCACGGGGTGCGGGCTGCACTTTTGGCAACCGTTCTACTCCAGGTCAGTGAACATTTTGTGCATTGGAGAAATGTCGTAAACCGTATAGTAAGTATCCTGTTTGATATTTATCTCGTGTACCTACTCTTGGCTCTCACTCTCGTTTGTGGTAGTGGATGTAGAACAGTCTGCAGGGAGCGTGTACATATTGTAATGCCACCCAATGCAGAGATCCGCGGAGAGGCTCGGCGCTACAGTGGAATCCGCTTAATAAATTCACCTTGGTGACAAGGTGTTTTGGATTTATTAAGCGGTGGCTTTATTAACCGGTGTCAGCTATTTTCATTAAAAAAGCATGTCAGCGGCACGTTTCGTTCCCTAGGTACGTACGCATAACAAGCGTATGGCTAAGATTTCTCATTGCCTTGCTTATAACAATGAAAGTGACCAGGGGCTCCGCCACTGGTGGGGTCCCGGGGGTCTGGACCCCAAATAATTTGACATTCGTAATGCAGCCTAATGTATAAAGGCAGGTTTTAGGGTTGGACATGCCCCCGAACCTGCGACCGTAGAGACCGTAGTACGGGGGCATGTCCCCCTGAAAGTGACCAGCGCACACTGCAAAGCTGGCGCAGCGATTAAGTCAACATATCCAATCCATCCACGACCTCTCCCCGTCATGCCTGCTATGCCAACGAGCATGCAGGCAGTCGAGGGTCCCTGCTTTGCGGGAACATTTTTCTGAAATGCACAGTAATTGCGCTCTTGATAGCCCTGAACTCCTTCTGTTTTTAGAACTCCAACTGCTGCAGACCGCTGCTCCAGCGCAGTTCTTTAGGAGCGGGTAGGATGCCACATTTTGAATGGAGAAACGTTACTGCGGACTTGAGAACTTCCAAGTGGCTTTATGCGGATTTGTTAACTATAGGCATCTATGGGGAAAATCCGTTAACAGCTCAAGCGGCCACAATAGGCGGCTGGATTTATTATCCGTGGATTTATTAAGCGGATTCCACTGTGGTGTCATTTTGTGTCGCTGATTGTGATACCAACTGGACCGTCTTCTCTTTGAATTAAATTGTTTTGTGTCAATATGAACCTGGTACGAACAACGTCTGCAGTGCAAATTCTATTCAATCGTGGCTCATGCTTTATTCAGAAAGCACCAGCAAATGTCTACGGAGCTTACACTTAACTTTTACACTTTTACTTTTACTTACACTTTACTTTTAAGACGAAAACGACCGAGTTACTGGAGGCTTGGTGATCTCATCATTTGTCATTTTAGGACAATGTGAATGGACATATATGCGTGCAGACGTCCTATTTTAGCATATTCTCATTAAAATTGATAATATTTGCACGGCCGATCAGCACTACGCGGTGGTTCGGGTGTCATCGTATGAGTACCAATATAAGTGAAGGAACTACTTGAATAAGTTAGGAAAGTATATTTACTGAGCACTGTGATATCTCTTTATTATTATATCTAGCCTCTTGTGTCCATTCAGCAGTGAATAAGCCGCAATCAAATGGTCGATTCATGTGCTGACTCCAGCCTGCGCACAAGTGAGCTGGTCGCTTGCGCCCACCTCCACCCTCATTTGAGCCGCTTAACATTTTCGGTCATATAGGGGGCGTCGCAGATTTAGGTATTTTAGCGTACCGCTAGTCTCCACATGCAGGAAACAGTCATTTTGATGATAGATGCTTGTGAATAAGCGCTTGATTAATTATTTAATATCCCCGCCAGACTGAAAGGGAAACATCATAGATGTGCAGTAGCGGCGGAACACCTTCAATTAAGGGGGGGGGGGCACTGCCGACTTTTGGTCCCATTCTTTCCATGCAACGCCCATAGGGCTAGTGTTAAAATGCCAAAATCAAAGGGGGGCACGGTGCCCCGGTGCCCTCCCCGTTCCGCCGCCTATGTAGATGTGATACCGATTGATCATATCAGAACCTACCGAACTTAGCGTTTGATGTCCGATCGATTATCGTCTGTCCAGGCCGGTATTCTTACGGTCGACAGTAGTCTCTCGATGAGAGGCTACCGTCTTTCCTCCCGCCATATCGGTAGCCTCCGCACGGGTCCACCAATCAGCGGACATTGCCATGCCGCAGATGAGATGCGCCTCATCTCTGGCGGCGGAGAAACCACCCAGCTGCAACTGGGGCCGGTTTCTCGGGCGCCTGCAGCGGCCGCGCCCCGTCGCGCCCCGGCCCGGCGGTCCCCCGGCCGGCCCGGCGCCGGGCAGCGCCCGCCGGGTGCCAATCGTCCGGTGAAACCGCCCATCTGGCACAGCCCGACACTCACTCTCGATTTCTGTCAGCCGTTTCGCCGCCCATGTCAGACTCACTGCTGACGGTCCAGTTTATCAGCCAGTTACACTATAGGTGTCATCAGTTTCACTTTCATTGGAGCTCAGACGGTAAAAGAGATCAACGGTGACTCGCAGGCGGGGTGTGTGAATCCGTTCGCTCCTGTGGTTACCGCTTCCTGAAAGACGAAACGAATGTCCTTACGTGACATGCAGATGTCATATGGAAAACAATTGAAAAACTTAAAAGCTGGCCGCTGTAAATACCATCATCGCAGCCCGTTTACCTTTTGATGCGATATTTAGGTATTTCATAATTTATCCAATGAATCTTTTACCCCATGCAGATGTTATGCAATGCATATTGTATGACATTTATCTGTTTTGCCGTGTCTCCAGTCTCGTACATTATTGACCTGATTGGATGTGGGATGTGTCATCGATGTCTATTGATCATCGATGCTCATTTTCAGTGTCATCTATAATGCTTTCTGTTTACCGTTTCTTTTCTTCCACGACGATGGTGATTTATCGGCCTATCGAGAAGGTTCGCGCCTCTCTGAATGGAGTTATGTTCCAGCTTCCAAACTGCCCGGGTCCCCTATGAAGCGCTGTCCGCGCGGGAATTACAAAGTGTCACAGAGGTCACGAGTACGACTATCAGTCACGGGGCCACCGGGTTGGCCGGCCATTAGAGTCGGCACGCTCAGGCTCAACTGATCATCCCAGTTTGTCAACAATGTTTCCAAGCCTATGTCCCTCATTATCTAATGCTTGCATACACTCGCACCTTTCTCTGACCTCCGATCATCTAATCATCTCCGCTGATATTTGATACCTGAGCTGGTTGCCTCAGACGCGTGCCGTCATAATCCGTAGTGTTCGTTCCGGAGCGATGGTGACACGCCAGTGACGCCCGTGACGTGTGCCGTAACGGGCGCTGTTGCGGCACCGGAGCGGTCACCGGTGACGGCCTCTTGGTGATAGACAATAGACATGGTCAGGATGAGGGTAGGACGGGGTCAGAACACTTATAGGCGCCTGCAGCCGTCCCATCTCGTCCTCTTATCTTGTCTCATCTCTCCCAGTTATAACTCGATCTGTAGCTAAATTGTCCCGAGCCCATCCGTACCGTCCCGTGCCGTTCTATATTGTTCGTCTCAGAATCTGATTCTGATTTTATCCCTTCAGTTGAGGATTCAGGGGATGAAACCGTTTTGAGCCCCAGGCATACCTATTTATTAACCCATTTTTATTCTATTTTGACCCAAGTTATATCAGTCCATCTGTCCCGCCATAGTGTCACTTGAGTCTTGTACCACACCGCCCATTATTACTGTCGCAAGCCTGTCACATTTTATTTCGTTCTTTCTGCCTTGTCTCCGTCGCTCTTCCCTGTGAAGTGGCGTATCCCGGCACCTCCTCCTCATTTACCACTCCCATATACTTTCACCTTCGCACGGTCCTTTCAGCTAACTGTCCCAATTGGTCTTGCTCTCTGGGAGAGGCGACGGTTTGTTTGTTGGTTCTCAGGGTGGATCTCGAACTGTTTGGGAACCTCGGCCTCTCGATGCAGTCAGGCGGCAATGAAAGATGCCAGCGATGGAGGTAGGTATAGCGGCAAAGGAAGACCAAATTGGCGTCCTGTGCTGAACGGTTTCACAGAAACATGACGTGGCTTCCATGGTCGCATTTTAGCACGGTTTCACCTATAATGCTTATGACTGTGCCAGATATCTTTCTTATGTATCCTTTTCCCCGTAATGTTGTAACCTCTCATCGGAAGTTTTTGGTTAATTTCTACTTCTCTCCGTGACCAAGCTTCGCGAAATTCGTCTCAAACAACATTCAGTCTTCTTACTACGAAGGGGATAGTGGGTAGTTTTTTATGTATGTAGTTGAATAGAATACCTTTACCTACGTTTCGGGACTCAAAAGTTTCCGTGTTTATGTATCCGATCTCTTTTCCTTCAATATTTATGAGCAATCATAGTTTTAATTAATTGTGTCGTTAAATTTGTCAGCCATTCGTAACAGACGCAGGCCGTTTTCCTCACGTCCACCGGTTACATCACGTCTTGTCTCGATGAACGTCCAGTCATAGCTCCAGGACCTGGAACTCGGCCCAAATGTTCGGGTTTCTCCAGCGGCGCACGCTACAAATGGCCCAGGGGGGGTGCGGCTGCCATGTGAACTAGTCGGCAGATAGCGAAAGTGGGTACATCTGCCAGCCGGCTGGTCGGCGCCGTAATACCGTAACTGGCTGCAGCGTAACTGTGACGCCGGCGTTCCGGACGAGTGGTCACGGGCGCTGGCCGGGCCGGCCGAGTTGCTATTGTGGCGAGTGGGCAGGACCGGGCCGCTCGCGCTGGTCTGACAGGCGACTCGGGATAGGACCTGCTGTGATGCCTGTGGACGGTTCAGGGCGGGGAAGGGAGTCAGCTATGATGGATGGTGTTGACCGAGGGGGCTTGCTTCTTACATTCATACCGGAAAGCCGACACGGGACAGGTCTTCTACGGACTTATACGGACTAGGAAGAAGACACCCTTTTCGTACGAACGTTTGATACGGGTGCCGGCCCGCCACTAATACCGCCATCGTTTCCACAGACGGTATGCGGACAGAGAGCAGTACAGAGCGGCCAGAACGGACAGGGTGGGCCGTCGGTGGCCAACATTGAGGTCCAGTGTCAGAAGACCGGGATGCAAGTACAGATCGAGTTCTCAGAACGGTTCGACGGCATCATCTTCAGCAAGGGGCACTTCGCCGACCCCAACTGCCGGTAAGAAACTTTAGTCACCCTGAGATACTTTAGCGATACCCAACCATCGGTAAGGAACGCTGGGAACCGGAGTTATTTTGCCGACCCCAACTGCCGGTAAGTAAGCGACAACAGGACATAATGGTATCTTCGATGATGAATATAATTATACACCCTGTTCTTTGACTCTAGAGTTGCCTTTTCAAATCACCTTCAGCTTTTCATTTTCACCAGCCTCCAATATCAATGTCTTTGGAGTTTGCTGCCGTCGCGCGAAAGTTCACAAGGCCTTGCGGTACAGCATAAATTCAGGCGTCCGCCTTTACCGACATCTAGCGGCAATAATGTAAGCTCATGGCCGAAAGTCCAGGCGCGTATGACTGCGCATTGCGTAACAGCATGATTTGCATCCGAGAAGTGGACGAAAGATAAATAAACCGGTCATAAATGCTCAACCACCTTTTGCAGAGAGCTTAGATCATACTTCCTATGCATCGTCGGTTATAGAAATCCATATTTATCGCTACCTGATTTTAGCTGACCACTTTTTAACAACGCTAGGTATTCGTTTGCTTAGAAATGAACACTTACATTGTAAGCGAGTTTGCGTAAAGCTATTAATTTTAGGTTTAGGGGTTGGTAATGACACTCCTTATATGACACTTACAGACTTACTTACAAACTGAATGACGCAAGTTCTAACTGAAACACCCATTAACTGACTCATGGAGGCAAGAGCGGCCCTGGTGGCGCAGTCGGTTAAGGCGTCGACCCGCGGTGCGGGCGGTGCCGGGTTTCGGGTTCGATTCCCGGTTCCGCCCGTTCCGCGGGCGTCGTCCACGGCTGTGTCACCAGAGGGCTGTTCACGGGCCCTGTGTGCGGTCGGACCGCACACAGCCTCGAAGCTCCGCCCACTTCGTCCCTACGTCAGCCTTCCGTCACCGCACACAGCGATCGCTGTGGCCGGTCGGGACTGGCCACAGCGGACCGTCCACCGCACGCAGCCGTGACGTCAGAACCGCCTACCCATCCCCTACCCCCACGCCTGCTGGACGCACCGCACACACCGCACGCAGCAGTGTGCGGTGCCCGTGAACACCCCTCAGGTGTGGGGTAGGCTCCCACTTCAGCCGTAGCCTGGGGGGTGGGGGAACAAGGGCCAGGAGGAGGAGGTGCCCTCCTGTAATTGAGCCACAAGTGCCCGTTGGAGGGAGGCCTGAATAACAAAAAGACAAAGCCATGGCGCCGTCTGTTGACACGCGTGTGTCCGGAGCCATATACCTAGTCTGTTTCTGGTCTGCTTGTATCGCGCTTCTGTGGTGACCCGTGCGTTGCAGCGCCTCCGGCCGGTCCGGCCCGGCCCGCTCGTGCTGACCTGGCTCTCGTTTGGCAGGTACGCGGGCGGGCCGGGCCGCGGCGGGCGCACGCGGACATTCACCGTGCCCATGACCAGCTGCGGCACCAGCGTGCGCGACGGCAGCGTCTTCAGCAACACGGTGGTGCTGCAGACGGACCCGACCATCCAGGAGGCCTGGGACCTGGCCCGTACCATCACCTGTGACTGGCAGCGGGCCGGCGCGCGGCGCACCGTCACCTACTCGCCGCTCCCCGTGGCCGGCATGCAGGCCGAGGAGGTGCGTTTCGCCGCCAACGAGTCGGTCAGCTGCGGCATGGACGTGCAGGTGGGCCGCTGGCCGCAGTCGCAGGCCGTTACGCAGATGGTCTCTGTCGGCTCCGATCTATCGCTGCTGATGTTTGCCGAGGACCCGGCCGGACAGCTGGATCTACGTGTGGGCGAGTGCCGAGCTTACAGCAGCGCCGACTTCCAGAGCGCCGCTAGCGTCCAGCTCACAGACTCCAACGGCTGCGTGCTCAAGCAGAAGCTGATGACTGAACTGCAGGTGACGCGCCGACAGCTGGATGGGCGGGATCGTGTCATCGCCTACAGCTACCTATCGGCCTTCAAGTTCCCGGATGTGCTGGAGGTTCACTTCAGCTGTGACGTCGAGGTCTGCAAGGGTCTGTGTCCAAAGTCGTGTGTGCGCCGTGATACCTCGGCGGGAGCGAGAGTAACCTCACAACGTCCAGCAACGGCAGCGATCACACGAAGACCGGTAACGACCTCACAGCGCCCTGTGGTGACCTCTCAGCGTTCGGCGTCTGGGTCAGTGTTCCCCTCTCGGAGACCGGTGGGCGGCGGGCGGCGTTGGAGGCCTGCCAGTCGCACGGTCAGCCCCCGTCGAACCACCCCGGCCATCCGCCGACGGGTGACCACGGCTCAGACGACCACAACTGCCGCCACCACGACGGAGTTTAGCAGGAACGCAGCGCAACCGCAGCAGCCTCAGACGACGCAACAACCGCAGACAACGCCACAGCCTCAGCCATCCCAGCAGCCGCAGCAACCGCAAGGGCAGTCTTCACAACCTCAAAGTTCGCAGCAGCCACAGCCCCCTACCAAGGACTACCCAACATTCAACATCAACACAAAGCGTGACTTTCCTAGCAAGAACGCGCTGGAGGAGGGAAGTGTGCGCACGGACAATCTGCTCAGCCAGCTGGCTAACATCGAGCTGGGCCGTCTGCCGGGCTCTGGGAGCTCACAGACCAGTGTCCCAACTCCGAGAAATCCGGCGCCGCGTGTGCCGGACGCCGTCACCAGCCGCCCGCCGCCCGGGAAGAGAACCCCACCGTCTGACCTGGCCGCCACCCGCGTGGTGCAGACACCGTTCGGACCAGTGACCGTACCGGCCGCTCTTCTAGCTGGGGCCACCAACGGCAATAAGCGTCAGAACGCTTCGATCAATGACATCCCCAGCACTCCCGCGCCCACGCCTCCACAAACCTCCAATTTCATCTCGTTCGAGTCTCCGCCGGCGGAGAATGAGGTGCTCGGTGCAGCCACGCAGCTCCGCGCGGTCGAGGCGGCGCCGCCGGCCGCCATTCCCGTACCGATTCCGGTGCCCGTTAAACGACCCAAGCCCGGCCGGGGTCGGAAGCGCCGCCTGCGTGGTCCGCGTTTTCCGTTCGGTCTGCGCGGCCGTTCTAAGCGGTCTCTGGTTCCGCCGGCGGAGATCAGACCCGTGCGGCTGTCTCGCCAGGTGTATGTGGCCGCCGAGGACGAACTGACGGCCAGTGAGGACCCGGAGCCGTCCAGCCGCCGGCGGCCGGCCGACTCGATCTGTCTGGGGGTGGGCACGTTTACTGCCGGGCTGCTGGTGGCCGCTGGCGGAGTCTTGTTTGGACTGGCGGTCGGCTGTGCCGGCTGCTGGCAGCGCCGCCAGCGGACCAGCCGACCCAAACTGAACGCTCTGCCCCAGGTGGACAGGCTGTATCGGCGGGCCCGCTAGCTACCCCGACGAGCAACTTACCGCTTTGGGGGTCGTGAACGGTCTGTCTTTCAGCGTTATTTGTTGGTGTAAAATAACTTATCGCGCCTATGGTCAATAGATTCGACGCAAGCTCTCAATTTAGTGTTCTATTATCATGTTTTCTTCCATTCATCGGCGTAACTAACAAGGGTCTGGGATTTGCAGGGCTTAGTTGACAGACACCGTACTGTTTGCGGTTTTTGGCTTGTTTAAAGAGCTAAGCGCTTGTATTGGTTTTTAGAGCTATGTGTGAGACGCGCCGGTATCTGCCGACGCTGCACGGTCCTTTCTGGAAGAATGGATACTGAAAGGCGTCAGCGGCTGTAGGTAAAATGGTCGATGGTTGATGCTGGCACTGTAATGTGTAAATACAAACAATTGCTAATAATCGCCGTCGACATGCATTTGTAATAAAAACAAAATAAAAACAAAAACAGTTATAATGGTGCCCCTCAAACGAAATAGACCGATGGATGCTGAACGATGAGACTGGCTTCTGACAAGGTAAGTCGTAAGTAAACGCCTTCACGCAATCCTCCTCCATCAGCATTACCGCGATATAAACGCTCAATTCGTTTTTTGTGATGTCTTTGACTCTTTAACGTGTTTGTGCTTTACCGTTCATTTATTATCGCGTCTCAACACAGCCCGCTTCTATTTAAGCCTTTTTTAGATCATTGAGTGGCGCTGACTAGTTTCCCGTTGATCGTCTCTAATTTTTCCATCAGTATAACCAGTTACGTCCCATCCCTCCTGCAGATACGTGGCGTTCCAGAGCGGCGCGGCCAACTACACATTCGACGTCCCGATGACGGCCTGCGGATCGCGCGCCATCGCTGACGAGGGACGGGTCGGCTTCGAGAACACCATCATCATACAGGCGGAGGAGGTGAGGCATCGGACTGTAGAAGTCACAAGACGGTATCATCGTAAGGTATCGTTTTAATGAAAATATTTTGTTTGTTTACACTCAATACTCACTAGTCAGTGGATGATACAGGAGGGATCCGGCTCTAACATCAGCTGCTGTTCTTCAGGTGATGCAGTAAGGATCCGGTTCTGGCGGTGGTTTTTGTCTCTTCTTACTAGGAACTCGGTCCTGACGACTGCTCTTGTCCCTCAGGTGGTGCAGGAGGGCTGGGACACGGCGCGCCGGCTCAGCTGCGACTGGCCTGACCGTGTGGAGAAGCTGGTAACGTTCCGGCCGATCGCCGTCCGTGCTCTGGAGGCCACCGAGGCGCGGTTCGCCGGTGACGACATCACGTGCTGGATGGACATCCAGCTGGGCAGAGGTCCGTTCGCCTCCTCCGTGGACGGCATTGTCCGGATCGGCGAGCAGCTGACCGTGGTGATCCTGGCACAGGCCACAGCCGGACAAATGGACATGGCCGTCACAAACTGTTACACCTATGACGCGGAGAATATCAGCGACCCGCGCACCACCGTCCTCCAGCTCACCGATGACCGCGGCTGTCTCCTTAAACCCAAATTGATGAACTATTTCCGTAAAACTCGCCAAACCGGCAGCACAGGCGCCGATATTCTCTCGTTCGCCGCGATGAGTGCGTTTAAATTCCCGGACAGGATGGATGTGTATCTGGCCTGTGAGGTTGAGTTCTGTAAGGACAGCTGTCAGCAGACCTGTGACAGTGAGGACGCTCCACGAGGACTGGAGGAGGACGCTGAGGATTCTGATGAGGACACTGAGGACTCAGAGGCGGACCGTCCCGAGCCGCAGCCCCAGCCAGAGCCGGCCAGTTTCTCTGCCCTGCGCCTGCGCGGCCGTCGTCCGTCGCCGCCGACCCTGCCGCCACCTTCTCGCGCCACGGAGGCTCCGTCTCGCGCCACGATGCCTCAGTCTCAAGCCACGATGGCGCAGCCCCGCGTCACAGAGGCACCATCTCTTGCCATGGAGGTGCCATCTCGCGCCACGGAGGCCCCGTCTCGCGCCACGTTGGCTCAGTCTCGCGCCACAGAGGCTCCGTCCGAGCGCCCACCGTCAGCCGCGCCGCTGAGGGCGCTCAGTCGTGTCCAGGAGATGATGGCACGAGTCAGAGCGGCGATGAGAACCACTGCGGCAGCTACTACCGAGGGCACAACGACTACTAGCAGCACCACAGCCACCACCACTACAACAGCAACGACGTCTACCACCACAGCCTCTACAACTACCACAACTGCTGCAACTACCACTACCACTGCCACCACCACTACCGCTTCCACGTCTACCACCACTACCGCCACTACCACTTCTACAGCCTCTACAACTACCTCTACTACTTCGACCACCACCACTACCGTCGTCAGCTCTAGCCCGTCTGCTGCTACCAGCAGTAGTTCAGAGCAGCCCATTTCTGTCCCAGTAGAACGGACTACGGTCACCCCAGGCCTCACGCTGCTGCGTCTGTCTGCCCTGGCGCCTACCAGTGCTGCACTCGTCTCCACATCATCCCCAGCTCCGGAGTCCAGTGAAGAGACTACCACTAACTCTGCTCAAAATTCCAACGAGACTATGGCGGGATCCACGAGCACTACCGCAGGTCAGCCGCTGGTGATGCCTGAGAGCTCAACGGCCGCGAACACGTCACCTGTGGCATCATCATCCACAACAGCGGCCGCTGCGCCGTCGGAGGGCAGCTCCCCGTCACCAGCTGCGGCCGGACCCGAGCCCGTCCTGCCGGCAGCGGCGGCGGTGACGCCAGAGATGACGCCCTCCTCGGTAGACACCCTGATGACGCTACTCCGTGACCCCGGCGTCCAGGAGATCCTGGCTGATGATCAGTTTGTGGCTGAGATGCGTGCCGCACTGCGTGACCCAGCCGCCGCTGAGCAGATGGTGGAGTCTGGTGAGGTGACTCCTGACGTGGTGGCGCTGTTTCAGCTGCAAGAGGTCTGTCCGAGGACAGACTCGGTTGATCCCATATGCGGTATGCTGGCGGCTATGACGCGGCCACAGACCACCACTCTGCCCACGCCGGCGCGGACGTTCTTCCCGGCGGAACCGCGACCGGTCGTGCCTGCCGGACCGGCGCGCTCCGTGCAGGAGATCCTGGAGCGACTGCGCGGCCCGCCGGCGGTGGCTGAGCCGCGGGCCGGGCGCACGGACCGCGCTGGTCGGACGGGACGGCCGTGTGCGGCTGATGACATCGCCTGTAACATGGTTCAGATCGGCGAGCAAGCGGACTCACTCCGCTCAGCAGCCAGCTCTCGCAGTCTGTTCAGCGTATCATACCCGACGAGCGCGTTCGGTGCGCGTCTCCCTACCTCCCACCGGAGACCCCGGAGACGAGTCATCGAGCCGAGCAGTCTGACACTCAGTATGGGTCGCAGTTTCCGCGTCCTGTCGCCGGAGGAGCTGGCGTTCGGCGGCGCCTCGTGGGCGGGAGCGGGGGCGGCGGCTCAGGGCGGCGGCTCGACACCACCCGCTGGTCAGGTGTGTCTGCCACAGCTGGGTCTGGCGCTGGGCGCGCTACTGCTGGTGCTGGCCCTGGTCACCGCTCTGCTGTTCGCTGGGGTGCTGTACGTTCGGCTGACCCGGCTTCGGAACAGAGAACGCATTCGAGATGGTCACTCGTATCCAGAGTACGTCTACAAATGAGACACACTGACCGCACAATCTATTTAACCCGCGCGGGGCTGGGGGGGGGGGGTAAATTTTACCCCCCCCCCCTCGCGAATTTTTGCGATATCTCGAAAACGGCGGCGCGCAGCGCCGCCAGACTTTCAGTACCTTTTCTTACATCAATTTGACACGTTCCCTGAAAATTTGAGCGAAATCCGTCGGAAAATTTTTGAGAAATTGACGTTTTAGTGACGTCATGTTCGCCATTTTCGCCTCAAAAACGGCAAAAGTTCAAACGCCGCTAACATCTTCATTTTTAAAGGAATCAAGACGTAACAAAAAAGGTTATACGTAATTTTACTTTGTCTTTCAAATGGCTATCTCGGTTTTTTGAAAATTTTGGATTTTGGCCTAAATTTTTTCAAAAAACTGACTTTTTTGGGAAAATCATTATAAAATCCAAAATTTTGAGTCTATCGAAAAAACCGGAATATATGTCAGAGAAGTGGTCTATGTGCACCTACATACCAAATTTTAGAAGAATCGGTTCAAAAATGTGGGAGTTATTCAAAATTTTATGACGTCACGACACACAAAATTTTTGAAAAATGACTTTTTTGGAAGTTCTAGACCTCGTACGAAAACAAAAATAGCACCATTCGATTCGCCGTGAAAAACTGCATCAGATAGACACCTTTTTAGGCCTTAACAACCAACTTCAAAATTTGACCTCACTTGACCTGACCTTGACCTGACCTCGACCTGAAATTCATCCAGAGGTGGTCCATATCACTTATTGAGTGTGCCTATTGAATTCTATGAGTAAAATGACCCATAAAACATGTGTCGCACATGCCCTTTTCTATATTTTGTTTTTTGGTGACCTGACCTGACCTGACCTGACCTTGACCTTGACCTCTGAATGATATTGTATGCAACGAAAATTGTCTTGGTAGCCTAAGAACACGTTTTGGGCGATCAGTCTCAGTCCATGACTCCATTCTTCGGCAACTACGGTGCAAGGCCGATACTGTAGAAACTTGCAATTTGTACCCTTGACCTGACCTTGACCTTGACCTCAAACTTTAAATTAAGTACATGTTTTTAGTAGTTCGTGATGAGAGCTTTCGATTGGCGTTTGAATTTTCCAAATCGGACCATTAGTTCGGGAGATAACAGGGGGGGTAAAATTTACCCCCCCCCCAGCCCCGCGCGTTCGGCTGGAGACCCCAGCCCCGCGCGGGTTAAGAGTGAAAGGAAGCTTGTTGTTGAAAGTTTGACGTGTTTTTATCTCGGTAGCTGGGGTTGGAGTGAACTGTTGTGACGCCGCGCGTAGTGCCACTGGTAGCTATTTAAGTTTATAATTCCGAGGCCAAGAACGACGTTTTAGCGTCGTGTCACTTTCCACTCAGGATCATTAGAGTTAGAGTACAACACCTTGCCGAAGCCCTGCTGCCTCTCGGAAACATTTTCCACCGAGAGGACTGCGGCGAACCGCGATCTTTCGTGTGCTTTTTACTTTGTTGCAATACGTGATGCAACCGTGTGTTCGGTGGTATTGAGTGGTGGTCCGTCTTGGACTGCCACAAACATGTGCAATATATTTTGAGATCTTTTCATTCAGGTTCTTTTTCTGGGACGATTCTTCCAAGGCAGTTTTCCAGCGCAAGGCTACCAGGTCTGCGGTAGCAACTAAGCAGTCTCTTGGAATGCATCGGACAGGCCAATAGTACAGCGTCGTAACATGTTACATGGAATTAGCGTTTTCCGTCCATCGCATCTCAGGAGCCGGATGAGTGAGAAAGAGCGAACTAAATGCAAAATTGGAACAGGGAAAACCTAAATCACCCCATCAGCCTTGCTTAGAACTCTGGCAATCCGCTTTCAATCGAAAAAAAAAACTCCGCAATACCTCACCCATTTAAATGTATTCAGTCGCGCAGAACGAATATTCATCACTCAAAACACAGGCGACCCGATGCAGTTGGACCACAAAACGAATAAAGTTATATATTTTCTGTAAAGAAATCACCGTCGTCTCGGCGCGCCGTGGAATAGGTCACTCGGTGTTCTTGCAGTCGGCTCTCGGCCACTGCCGACTCAGGCTCCAGCGGGCGCGGCCGCTGCGCGGGCCTTCTTCTGTACCTGGCTGATCTTGTCGCCAAGACTGAGCGCCATTCCCTGTCAGACACAGACACAGACACAGCGGTCAGACCAGGGCCGACGGGAGACCTCCCTCATATGACACACAGTGTACCCAGGCGAACATCCACTCCCTTTCTACCGTCTCTGAGGCTCCACGTAACACTCCAACCCCAGACCCTCCGCCATTCTTTCCACTTCCAGCGCCGCGTTCTTAGACTCACCTGGCTCTTGGCGCGGATGCGAATGTGTCCGATGACAGGCGCATCCGGCTTGTTGAACGGCTTCTCCACGCTGAGGTTGGCCAGCGCGTCCTCGCCGAAGATGGAGCGGGCGTACAGGTTGGCGGCCAGGAAACCGCTGTCACCCGACAGGCCCTGGGGAACGGGAGAGAGGAAGACGTGGTCATAAACCCCGCACACGGAGCTTTCGATCATACAGACTGACAAGAGGCGGGCAGACTGAATGCAGCTCAGCTCACGATCACAGCAGTTTACATTATCTGGGGTTTCTTTAGCGTACTTAAATAATGGGCATGATATACAACAAAAATAAATATTGAATTGGTGTTCCAGTGTTAGCTTGACTCACCAACAGAACGAGAACGAGAAAGGTGAGACCGAGCGTATTACCGTGCGGTACCTCGATCACTGACACCGTACCTTCTCCGGTGTGAGACAGCGCATGTTGGTGGACGTCATCAGATGGGTGAGGTACTCGTTCAGGTCCGTGAGCGTAGTGTTGACCGACACCTGTGGACAGAACACACGGGGCCGAGATCGTCAGGCCAAGGGAGATTTCCATCACATTCGACATTCACGGCGAAATCAACGAATGATGAATGCGACTAATTGGACGGTGACAACACATCATTCAAGAACAAACTTCACACTGCCGAAGAAGGCAGACAATGATGAAAGCAAAGTTGACTATTGTCAATGTAAGGTGCCCGAACCAGTGCTGTGATCATCGAGGTCCAAAAGAAGTCAGACACCGAGCCTTACTCTCGCTTAGGCCCCTTGCTATCTCGCCGATCCTGGCGCACCATCACCACATCTCACCTTGTTCTCCCACTCGAACTCTGCCCACATCTGTCGGAACTCCTGGTCGGAGCACGACGCCGGCACGATGTAGTCCATGATGTCGATGTGGATGTCGTTCAGTACCACGACGTTACGGTCGTTGCCCGCGCCAGTCACGTCGTACACGATGTTGCCGAAGATGATGGCGTTCTCCGTGCTAGCGACCTGGAGGGAGGGCACACACGGTCATCTCAGCCCAAAACGGCTGGAAGGGACGACACAGATCGTACCTTCAAACATGCAACATGTAAAGAATATGCAAATTGGATATATGTATGCTATCCCACAGGTTGATGCCGGCAAATCATAAGAGAGCGACTAAATAGCATGATGCGTACCTTCACGTTGGCTTTGATATTAGCAAAGTCCTTGGGTCCGAGCACCAGCGGCGACGGCTTCTCGACCAGCTTGAGGTCGCCGAGGGTGGCCAGCTCGAGGCAGCAGTTCTGCAGCGTGTCCGACGTCTGGTTCACCACCAGCACGTCCAGCACGATGTCGTACTGGTTGACGTTGACGTACGCCTCGGC